TCCGTACAGTGAAGCCGGAATGCCCGATCCGATTGGGAGTGAACGTGCTGACACGAGCCAGGGAGATTGAGCTCCAATGGGACATCCCCCCACTCAGGTTCACCCTGCTGAGGAACAACCTCCTCCATCAGGTCTCCTACTGCAGCTCCAAGCCCACCTGGGAGGTAAGAGGGTGAGAGGCAGGGGAGCGAGGGTGTGGGGTGTGGGGAAGATAGTGAGGGGTGGGGGGAGATGGTGGGGTGCAGAGGAGAGAAGGTATGTCGGTTTGAGACGGTGAAGGATCAGGAGAGGGTATACGGGGTTTTGGGGTAGAGAGAGAAAGGGGCAGGGGGAGAGGCTAGCGTGGATGGGAGAGTGATGCTGTCACTGATGCTGACCAATTTTAATTTCAGTAATATACTTCATTCATAAAATATCTTTAAGTATGTCCATCGCCACTAGATCAGTCCAATTCTGTCCTGTGTGTACATATAGGGAACAAACAGAACCCAAGGCATCCCTTCTTTATACAAGACCATATTTGCATGAATTTGAGGCACCAGGGAGTGTCTGATAACTGAACAGACTCCTGTTTACCTTCAGACCTTAGGCAGTGGGTCTTTCCCCATTGCCCCTTGCCAGCAGCTGCCCCAGGCTTTAGTGTGTCCCTCAGCATGTAGTCCTGGACCTTCAAATGGGGCAGTCTGTAACATTCAGTCAGGGGTAACTCCTTGCTCTGGAAGACCAATAAGTCTTGTGCAGAACAAAGAGCATCTTTCACTGAGTTGATGGTCCTCCAGGCGCAGTTAATGTTTGTCTCAGTGTGCGTCCTGGGAACAGACCAGTTCCATGTCACCATTGCATCTTTGTCCAGACTTCCTTTGCAAAGGCACATTCCAGAAGGAGATGTGTCACAGCCTCTATCTCCCCACAGACTGCTCCTCTCAGTGACACTGACTGCTCCTCATTGTGCCCTCACCTCACCCTGCTCTTCCTCTTACTTACACCACATAGACTCCCATTTAAAAATGTTTACAAAGGCAGCTCACTATCCCTTTCTCCAGAGCAATGAGAGATGGACGATAAATATTGGTCCAGCGAGCAACACCCACATCCCAGAAAGGACTCAGAATAGCTCATGAAGAAAAGCAATGCAGTTGGTAGCTCAGTCACGGAGTTCTGAGCAGGGACTGAAATTATTGTCAACAGTATTCCTGCTAATTCATTGCAGGAATCTTTGAATCGGCCAGTGCTGGGTGAGAAGCGTTCTGATAGTGGAGCCACAGCTGAGGAGTTGTGGGAGCAGGTGGTGAGACGGAGTGTACTTGTGAAAACTTATGCTGCCTCATTGGGCGATGGTGAGATGCTGGCAGTTGATGAGAAATAAGAGGGACGAGGATAGATCCGGGCAGGGGAATATCGATGGGGGGCGTGGTGTTTTGCTTGGTTTCAGTGAGCCAGGCTGGGATCCACTCTGCTGGGAGCAATGCCATCGAGCTATGTATCAGTGAACGAGCTGGGAGGTGGATGGGATGGTCACTGTGTGACAGGTCAGAAAGGACAAGACTGGAACATTTCACATTGTGACCGTCACAGGATGTGAACTGTAACTTTGATCCAAACAGTTTTAATCGTGTCTCTGGGGCTGAAGCCTCACTGGAAAGATTGAGACCAGGATAGTCAGGGCTGGGAGGATTTGAAGAGATTGGAGGTGGCACAGTGGTTTGCCAGGAGACTGGGCTCCTCTCGAGCTGGTACCGTGATTGCAAGTTAAAGGGGAAGAGGAACCCCAACGTGAAGGAAGGTGGGGATCAGGAGGGAGGGTGCACTGGGTGGGAACAGGGGGAATGGGGAAGGGAGTACAGGGTCGGCCTCATGAACAGGATAAAGCAACAGAGAGAAAGGAGAGGGAGAGAAAGAAAGGAGAGGGAGGGAGGGACAGAGAGAGAGAGAGGAAGGAGAGGGAGAGAAAGGAAGGAGAGGCAGAGAGGGAGAGAGAGCAGGAGGGAGGGCAGGGGCAGGGAGAGAGAGAAAGGATGGGGAGAGAGATGGAGGGAGGGACAGAGAGAGGAAGAGAAAGGGGAGGGAGAGAGAGAAAGGACAGGCAGAAAGAGTGAGAGAGAGAGGGAAGGAGGGCAGGGAGAGGGGAAGAGAGAGATGGAGAGAGAGGGAGAGAGAGCAACAGGGAGGACGGAGGGGGGAAGAGAGAGAGAGGAGGGAGGGAGGGAAGGCGGGGGAGAGTGAGAGAGCAAGAGAGAGAAATAGAGAGAGGGCGGGGGTGGAGAGGGAGAGAGGAGGGTGGGGGAGGGACGGTGCTGGGGTAGGGGGAGCAAGGAGGGAAGGGGGGACAGAGAGAGAGACAGATGGATCACAGGGCGAGATTGGGAAGGAAAGGAGGGGGCGGGTGGGGATATCAGAGGGAGCTTGAGCCGGTCGGCTGGGAAAGGGCTAGCAGTCACAGCAGATTGAATGGTCTCAGAGATTATTGGGAGTGATGGGATATAAAAGTAATGAAGACAGTGAAGAGATCTCATTGAGCACCTTTCTGTTGTACTTGGATGTGCGGGCTGGGGACGGGGTGTCTGGGCTTTCAAGGGAGGGAGAAAGACGAGGAACAAGCTGGAGCAGTTAAAACAATCAACCTGAGAGAGAAGCAGCAGGCCAGGCTAAAGTATGATTTGCTGCAAAGTGCCACTTTTCCACAGAAACGTTCTTGATGCTTGAATCTCAAGCAGGTGGAGCCACATGAAGAGGTGTCACTCAGGTAGACAATGCCATCATCCCTCAGTGATGAAGTTGTTAGGAAAGCAGGCAGGCCTGTCTCAGTCAGGTCAGTACCTCACACTAACAACCGTCTATCTTCACCAGCAGAATATAAATGTAACTGGCTCCTCTGTGAGACTGTTGATGAAGAATCTGATTCCAAGCTCTGAGTATATGATTCGCGTTCGATCGATTCCTGATCAGGGATATTTCAAAGGAATATGGAGTGACTGGAGTGAGACTGTCAGTTTCCAAACCCCAAAAAGTGCATACAGACTGAGTGCAGGTAAAGACTTCATTCACATTGATATCACATACTGACGGAGGGACACAATGTAGGACACACACTGTGGACGGTCATTTAATCATGGCAATGTCTAAAATGTTTAAACTGAAGAGACAGGATACGGAGAGGTAGAAATAAAAACAGAAATTGCTGGAGAAACTCAGCAGGTCCGGCAGCACCTGGGGAGAGAGAAAAACAGAATTAATGTTTCAAGTCTTCCAACTCAAAACATTAACTCTGTTTCTCTCTCGGCAGATATAGGCAGACCTGCTGAGTTTCTCCAGCACATTCTGTACTTGTTTCAGATTTCCAGTATCTGCAGGGTTGGTTTTGGTATACCCAAAAGCAGAGAATCTGCAGGAACTGGAGGTCTGGAATGAGGGCTGGTTTGTAACAGATTAGCTTGAAGAGATTTTGAACAGAGCAGGAGAAACCTCTGCAGAGGGGTGTGACAGTGTGGAATTCACTTCCTGTGTTCAAAATTTAAACCAAATCATTGGGAGAGGGGATTGGAGGAAAAGGTGCTGAAGGGATTTGGGAACAGAGAGGGTGAATGTTATTGGAGCTATTTGCTTGTGTGGAGGAGAAGTGCCGTCATAGACTGGACTTGAATGGCCTGTTGGTATGCTGTATGCACTATCCAGTGAATTTGGACATACGTCACGCTAACTAAGACCAAAGGAAATCCGAGCAGAAGTAGGGCATTCAGCTTCTGTCACTCAATCAGGCCATGGCTGTTCTGTTTCTGCATGTGACTGTCCAGATTTACAGTGATGGGGCTGTGAGAGTTCACCTGATTGCTTCGGGTTGCATTTTCTGTCACCCCTCACGGAACAGAGAATAGTAACACACTAGTAATGTCACTGGGCTGGTCATGCAGTGAGCTAGGCTCATGCTATTGGGAAAGGGTTTGAATCTGACCACAGCTCACAGTGACATTCAAATTAAATTCATTAGCCTGGTATTAAAAGCAGGCCTAAAAATGACCGTGAATTAATTCAGAGCAAAGAACAGTGCAGCACAGGAATACCAAAACTGTGCCGACACATGTTGCCTTTCGAAACTAAACAACTTATGCCTCTATGCTGTGTGTATCTCTCTATTCCCTATTCACATATATGGCAACATGCCTCTTAAACGTTGTTATTGTATCTGCCTCCACCATCTCCTCTGGCAGCACATTTCAGGCACTTACCACCCTCTGTGTAAAAAACATAGCTCTCACATCTCCATAAACTTGTGCCCCACAGAGCCTGACATTTCTACCCTGGGAAAAAGACTATCCATGCCTCTTATAATTGTGTAAATTTCTATCAGGCCACCCCTAAGCCTCTGACATACAAGTGAAAACAGATCAACTTTTTTCTGATCTCTCCATATAGTTAATACCTTCCAGCCCAGGCAACATCCTGGTAAATGTTTTCTGTACCCTTTCCAAAGCATCCACATCCTTCTGGTATGGTGACCAGAATTATCTGCAATATTCCAAATGTGGCCAAACCAAAGCTCTATACAGCTGCAACATGCCTTGCCAATTTTTATACTCTCTGCCCCAAGTGATGAAGGCCAGGGTGCCAGATATCTTCATGACCACCTTATCCACTTGTGTTGCAACTTTCAGGGAACTGTGGACCTGTGTGCCTAGATCCCTCTGTATGTTGATGATACTAAGGGTTCATAGAATCATAGAATCCCTACAGTGTGGAAACAGGTCACACCGCCCCTTCCAAAGGGCATCCCACCCAGACTCATCCCCCTACTCTTTCCTTGTAACGCTGCATTTCCCATGGCTAATACACCTAATCTACACATCTCTGAACACTAAGGGCAATTTAGCATGGCCAATCCACCTAACCCACACATCCTTGGACTGTGGGAGGAAACTGGAGCACCCGGAGGAAACCCACACAGACACGGGGAGAATGTGCAAACTCCACACAGACAGTTGCCTGAGAGTGAAATCAAACCCGGGTGCCTGGTGCTGTGAGGCAACAGTGCTAACCACTGAGCCACTGTGGGTTCCGCCATTTACTATATACTTCCCTCCTGCATCACCTCACATTTGTCTGGATTAAACTCCATCTGCCATTTCTCTGCCCGTGTCTCCAGCCCATCTGTATCCTGCTGTAGCCTCTGGCAACCTTCCTAACTATCTGCAGCTCCCCCAGTCTTTGTGTCATCTACAAACGCACTAATCAGGCCACCTACATTCTCCTTCAAATCATTTATATATATTAGATACAACAATAGTTCCAGCACTGTTCCCTGTGGAACACCACTGGTCACAGATCTCCAGTCAGAAATGTACCCTTCCACTTCTACTCTCTGTCTCCACTGACTAAGTCAGTTCTATGTCCATCTTATCACCTCATGTGATCTCATATGACTTCACCTTTTGTATCAACCTGCCATGAGAGACCTTGTCAAAGGCCTTGCTAAAGTCCATGTAGACAACATGCCCTCAGCAATCATCTTTGCTACTTCCTCAAAACAACTCAATCAATTTTGAGAGCCACGATCTTCCTGACTCATTAATAAGTCCATATTTTTCTAAATTCCAAATTTTTTATTATTTCATGGGATATGGGTGATGTTGGCTGGGCCAGCATTTCTCACTCATCCCTAATTGCCCCTTGAGAAGGTGGGGGTGAGCTGCCTTCTTGAACAGCTGCAGTGTGCTATAGGTGTACCCAGCAATGTCCCTTAGGGAGGGAATTCTAGGATTTTGACCCAGTGACACTGAAGGAATGGCAATGTATTTCCACATCAGTTGGTGAGAGGATTGGAAGGGAATTTGCAGGGGGTGGTGTTAAACTTACCAATTTTGATGATAGCCATTGACTGTTTTATTTCTCAGGGAAATGCCCTGACCAATCAGAATCAATCTGTGGGGTTTAAAATGTAAATAAAACCTGGCTGTTAACTGTCAATCAGCATTAATGGTTGCTTTCTCCATGCCACCCTCTATACCAATGAGAGTCCACTGTCCACCCAATCAGCATTCTCCTGTCATGCACTAAAGCCTTGGTTTTCCCCTTGAATTGGTATTCTTGTGAATTGTCCTGATGAGAGTAAGTAAGAATCTTTAACAAAATGTGTATTTTCTCATTCAACTTACTTTGAATAAGTTTTAGTTTAACTTTGTCTCCTCAACAAGCTGGCCACATATGGACCTATCTCAGTTGCATTCCCTTTGCAAACTATTCCACTTTGCCCTGACTTAAAGGAGACACCTTACACACAAACATCGGATAAATGTTATCACATTCATGGCCAGGTGCCTGCTGCAGGAAGGTTGGACAAGGGTGGCCTGGGGAAGGTATTGATCTAGTGGGTTTATCACTAGACTATCAATCCAGAGACCCAGGTAATGTTCTGGGACATAGTTTCAAATCTCCGTTTGCATGAACCCACTTCACCACTAGTGTGTTTTAAGCCTGCTCGGATGTCCTGGTTATATGATTTCGCTAGGATTCTCTTCCTAGCTCAGGAAATGTCCCACTGGTATAACCTCCACTTTCCCCAGTCCTGGAGCCAGTGCCCAATGATTCACAAATCAATTCTTGCACACTGATCTCTGAGCCACACATTCACACAGTTTCCTCCTGAGTTTGCTTTAACCGTGCACAGCCTTCCAATGGCTCTTGATACCTTCCCTGCAGGACAGCTAAAAATCAGCACTCTGAAAATGAAGACCACCTCTGTCCCTTTCCTCAGCAACATTATAACCCTTGCCCCACTCTCCTGTGTGACCTATTCAAAACCTTGTAATGATCCCCTCCACCCCCAATCACAGTAAACAATTGAATGTTGCCTCTTGTACAGAATGTACTGAATTTTATTTTGCACAAAGACTATCTTCCCTGGCACAGAAAATGGCTTTCATCACAAGTCTAACGATATGAATTCTGAAGCTTTCAACTCTGAGAGGGCTATGGCTGTTCAGTGAGTTAGCACATTCACAATCAAATCTTTTTAAAACCAAACAACATGGGATTGGTAGAAACATTGAGGTGATGTATCTATCAAGTTATTGTCTAGTGGGGTGGGGTCAGTTCAAGGCACTAGGTGTAATTAGTGGATGTTAATCGTTAATTTGTCCCAATATAGGTTTAATTATGCATCTTAAATTTGATAACTTCAGCACCTTGTTTTCTTCTCTTGCCAAATTTGATATTTGTCTTGTAATTCTGAAGAAGGCATTTGGTACACTTACCTTCATTGGTCAGAACGTTGAGTATAGGTATTGGGATGTAATGTGCTGTGTGTAGAAGCCTGAGATGTGGCCTTATAGAGGTTTATAAAATCATGAGGGGCGTGGATAGGGTGAATAGCCAAGGTCTTTTTCCAGGGCAGGGGTGTCCAAAACTAGAGGGCATAGGTTTAAGGTGAGAGATGAAAGATTTAAAAGGGACCTGAGGGGCAACTTTTTCACACAGAGGGTGGTGCGTGTATGGAATGAGCTGCCAGGGGAAGTCGTGGAGGCTGGTACAATTCGAACATTCAAAAAGTATATGGATGGGTACATGGATAGGAAGGGTTTAAGGGGATATGGGCTGAACACATGCAAATGGGACTAGTTTACTTTGGGAAACCTGGTTGGTATGGACAAGTTGGGCCAAAGGGTCTGTTTCTATGCTGTCTGACTCAATGACAATGTGTTCATGGTCCAGGTAGTAATCCAGAGATTATTAGCTTTAAAAGTCTGTTTTTTAATTTTGCCCTGAGTTTCTCAAACACCCTTAGCAGATGCTGATGTTGTTGGCACACACATGGACAATGTCTGCAGGATCGCTCCCCTCCCTCTGTAATCTCAGTCCCAAAGCGGTCTTCTGAGCCCAGCGACTGGGCAGGCAACCCAGTCTGTATGATGCACTCTGTTAGTGTCAGTCCCTCTGATACTGCCCCACACGGGGGTGGCACTGTGGCTCAGTGGTTAGCACAGCACCAGGGACCTGGGTTCGATTCCACCCTCAGGTGACTGTCTGTGTGGTGTTTGCACATTCTCCCTGTGTCTGCGTGGGTTTTCTCTGGATGGTCCGGTTTCCTCCCACAGTCCAGAGATGTGCAGCTAGGTGGATTGGCCATGCTAAATTGCCCATAGTGTTCAGAGATGTGTCGATTAGGTGGGTTATAGAGGGATGGGTCTGGGTGGGATGCTCCGAGGGTCAGTGTGGACGTGTCGGGCCTAAGGGCCTGTTTCTACACTGTAGGGATTCTGTGATTACAATAACCGTCCTCTCTCATCTGACAGACTGAATGCCACACCAACCACACCGCTCCCGTCCCCCAACCCACCGTACCTCATAGAGTCCTACAGCACGGAGACAGGCCTTTCAGCCCAAACTGGCCCATGCCGACCAAAACATCCATCCATACTAACCCCATTTCCCTGCACTTGGCCCATACCCTTCTAAACTTTTCCTATCCATGTATTTGTCCAAATGCCTTTTAAATGTTGTTAATGTACCCACCTCAACCACTTCCGCTGGCAGCTCATTCCATATGCGCACCACCCTCTGTGTAAAAAAGTTGCCCCTCAGGTTCCCATGTATTCTTTTCCATCTTACCAACTGATGTCCTCTAGTCCTCGATTCCCCAACCCTGGGAAAAAGACTGAGTGCATTCACCCTATCCATGCCTCTCATGATCTTATACACTTCTTTAAGATCCTCCTTCAGTCTCCGATGCTCAAAAGAGCTTGTCCAACCTCTCCCTACAACTCAGTTTGTTTAGTCTTGTAAGTTTCTTCTGCACTCTTTCCAGTTTAATAACATCCTTCCTGTAGCAAGGTGACCCAAACTGAACACCATACTCCAAGTGCGGCCTCACCAACGTCCTGTACAACTGCGTCATAATTTCCCAACTTCTACACACAATGCCCTGACTGATGAAGGCCAGTGTGCCAAAAGCCTTCTTCACTGCCGTCTACCTGTGACTCCACTTTCAGAGAACCGTGCACCTTAACTCCAAGGTCTCTCAGTTCCACTATACTCCTTAAAGCCCTACCATTCACCATGAAACTCCTACCTTGATGTGACTTTCCAAAATGCAACACCTCACACTTATCTGTATTAAACACTGTTTGCCATTTCTCAGCCCACTTCCCCAGCTGTGAGATTGTTACTGGGTAAGTACATGCACACTATACAAGGACAATGAAACAGGCAGTGGCTGCAATAAGAATGAAATTATACCATCAGCCACACTGGAATGGCATGACTCTGATATGTGCTTATGTTCTGGCTTTTGGCTACAGGTATCAAGCTAACTATGTCCTTGTTGACTCTGCTTCTCATCATTGTCATCGGTCTCAGTGTACTGTGCTGGGAAAACAGGTCAGTGCAATTCAACAGCTTTCACCACACAGGAATGTAAACTGTGTCACAAGCAATGCCCCCCTAACTCAACAGCCCCGTGTACACTCTCACCTCCATCACTGACCCAACTCGCCCACTTAATCCCCCTCCCGCAGCCCCGTGTACACT